AAGCGCTTATTCTACTGAGCTATCTACCCAGCCCCTTTAAATGATTTTGAGCCCGACTTCACTAAGTTTCCTAGGCTGGCCTTGAAGTTGCGACCCTCCTGCCTCAATCTGCCAGAATGTTGGGACTGCAGACACATACCCCCATGCTGTCACATCATACTTTAGTAAGAAACAGGTTAAGGGCCCAGGAGTGTCTTATCCTCTGGTGCCAACTGCCTTGGAACAGAAAGGGACTCATGCTGCAGCTGTACTGTGTGCAAGGTGCTACAGTGATTAATGAGAGAAGAAGAGCTTGCATTTCTCGTCCAGCTGCAGAGGGCCAAGGAAAGTTGAGCAGAGAACAGTGACTTTCTGGTGGTGGGAGGACCACTTGGCCCAAGTACAGGGACAGGAAAGAGCCATTTCATTGGATTCCTCAGGTGGAGAGTGAGCTAGCATGGAGATCTTGGTCAGAGGTGGAAAAGGGACAGGGGTCATCCCTGTGCCAGTTGAGAGAAGTGCAGGTGAATGGCACTTCTATACAGTGCTCAGAGTGCACACAGTTGGCTTTGCTCCCTTGCTGCTCTATCCTGCTAGAGGTACAGATGCAGAGAGTGTTAGGCAGCTTTACAACAGCCTGACATGACTTGTGGCTGAGCTTGTGAGAGCAAGAGAAAACCCAGAAGGGGACCCCTGGGAGCTAATCAGACCCTCATACCTATGGAGGGAGTGGGGAACAGGGCTTGGCAGGGATTAAAGAAACATACGAGACATCTTATACTTCGTTTTTATACTTTTCTGCTGGATGGTTAAGAGCAAGGTAAAGCAGGCCCTATGCAACAAGAGTTGTAGCTTTTGGGTCTGATAAGGTCAGTGAAATCCCCTCAGGATTTATCCTGAGATCCTGTACCTCAGATTGTAGAACCTTTGTCAGTGTCAGCCATGTGGATGAATCACGGCCATTGCTTGGCCAGTGTGCTCTCTGAAAGCCTGAATGTTTTCTCTCCATGTGACTCTCCTTAGGCACACTCTACATCATCGATCCAGCAGAAAAGTATAAAAACAAAGCATAAGAAGTAAAGCCATGATGTTATGTTGAGCTGTAGGGGACTCAGGTCAACAATTTCTGACATTGCCAGTGAGGCGGAAGACCCAATACTATTATGGACTACTGAACTCTTTTAGAATATTTTGCTGAGTTTACACACCTATAATATTTAAATGATGGAACTTAACCAAAAAAGGGGATACAGATGAATGTCCATTTTGTTTGGTGGGTTTTTTTTTTTTTTTTTTTTTTGCTTAACCAGGAATTGAACTCAGACCCTTGCACTTGCCAGGGAAGCACTTATTCCACTGAGCCATCTCCCCGGCCCCTGAATGTCCATTTTGTATCTGTGTGTTCAAAGTGGTTAGGATAGATATATAGTTACATTCTCTTCATGAATAGAGGGATTTGTTCTAATGGTGTTTGTAAATAGGATATCAAGTCCACATCTTGTACAGCAATTAACCACTAGGAAGAATGTATACAATGTGTTAATTATTGAAACTGTCCTACCAATTTGGTTTGAAACTGTCTCATTGCTATTTGTTTATCAATAAAATTATGGAAAAAAAAAAGCCTCTGTACTTCTACGGCTCTCTCACTGTTTGTCCTCTCCTGCATGAGTATGGTCAAGTGGTCCCGGGCCCAGTAATAAAGGCTCATAAAATTTAATAATCGAGGGGAAAAAAAAGAAATATACGAGACAATAGGGAACTGGGAGGAACCTGCTTGTAGTGGACAGGCTCAACAATAACTGCGATTGACCAGCTTTTATTAGCAAGGGAGGTGTGGGGGAGGGGTTGTATACTTTTCATAAACCAGCAACTGCAGTAAATGGTAACAATTTAGTGGAGAACCAGTCCTCCATATCATTATGCCTATATTCTTTACACTGTCCTCAGCAGATGTTATCTTCTTACTTTAGGACTGCTGTGATTACCAACTTTCTCTGTGCAGCCAGGCAGGATGGGCCTTCTACGTACTTCTTTGTTCCTAAAACAAGTCATCCAGTTACATAGCCTGGTCTCCAGCATAATAAAATATTTCATGTTCCCTGGTCCCCAGCAGAGGACAGTGTCTACTGGGCACCATGCGGAGGGGCTGAAGCAGGAGGATGGCTGCAGGCTTAGGGTCAGCCTGGGCTACAGAGTGAGCTCAAGGTGAGCCTAAGATACAAAGCAAGAATCTGTCTCAAAAAGAACACAAACACACAAATAAAAAAGAAGTGAACTCTTCTTTCAGATGAGAGGATCACAGAGCTTCTCAGGGCCAGGGTGCGAGAGGCCTGGGAAGTGACTGATGGGTACTGCCAAGGGCTGTCTGCCCATTCTGCCTGAGGGCTCTTGCCTGAGCACAGCTTCCTTTTTTTATTTTTTCCCCTAGTACCAGGGATCAAACAGGGGACCTTGTGCTTGCCAGGCAGGTGCTTAAGCCATTGAAATCTCCCTAGCAGTTTATTTTCTTAATTTTTTGGCAGTACCAGAGATCGAACTTAGGACCTTGCTCTTGCGAGGCAGGCACTTATGCTGCTGAGCTATCTCTCCACCCCATAGAATTAGCCACTTACACAATGTGGTACACTCATTCAGAGGTCTGTGTGTCTGGAATTCTCTTTAAGTGTCAACTAATTTATGTTTCAGAAACTATGCATGTTGTAAATTATAGCAGTAAAATTTTACATATATATATATATGTATCTTTTTTTTTTTTCTTTTTTGAGACAGGGTCTCTTTATGTAGTTCAAACTGGTCTTGAACTCATTGTATAGCCCAGGCTGGCCTCAAACTCATAGCCATTCTCCTACTTCAGCCTCCTGACTGCTAGATTATAGGTGTGTGCCACCATGGCCAGCTTCTTTTTTGTTTTTTTGAGAAAGTGTTTTACTATAGACCAGGCTGGCCTTGAATTTACTATATATCCCAGGCTGGCATAGAACTCAGGGCAATCCTTCTGCTTCACTCACCTAGGTGCTGAGACCACAGGCGTGTGCCACCATTTTTGGTCTTGCATTATTTTTTTAAAGTACATATTTTAAGAAAAAACAAAAACTAGCCATGCCTGCAAAATATGTCAGTGAACTTGTTTTAGCTTTCGAGGTACCTTTTCAGGATCTCCTCTAAGTAACAGGTGTGTAGTGTAGTAAGATTACATTTTCCCCCACTGGAGAATTAGGCAGTCTGATGCCTCACCCTGCCATGCTGTCACAGTGTCTTGGTGCCCCAGGTTGTTCGTTCATCCCCAAGAGGGAGGCAAGAACCTG